CTGAGCTCCTATTCCAAAATCTTTATTATCGATGGGGATTTTCGCCACCACCCCACCATGGTTGGAATATTGTTTGATGGCCTCTAATTTTTGCATAATATTGCTTTTATCCATCACATTATTAATAAACACCATGGCCCCTTTTCCAGTCTGTTCAATTAGGGTTAATGCGCGGCTAATATCATCTTTTTCACCCGTAATTAGGGTGCTCAATACATCGCCATAGGTATTGGACGATAAAATTCTTAGCATCACAGGTTCATTTTCATTCCATTCGCCTTTGGTTAAGGCAAAATGAATTTGATCTTCCATGATTTGACGGTAGGTTATCAGTTTAAATTCCCCATATTTGGTTTTAATCTGACATTCATCCAGACGTTCAATCAATCGATCGTTGTGCAATCGATATTGAATTAAGTCGGCTATTGAAATGATTTTTAAATCAAATTTTTTGGCCATGGTCATTAATTCGGGCAATCGGGCCATGGTACCATCTTCATTCATAATTTCTACGATGACGCCCGCGGGTTTTAAACCTGCCAATTTGGCAATATCCACCGCTGCCTCGGTATGTCCAGGACGTCTTAAAACCCCTCCTTTTTTGGCCCTCAACGGAAATATATGGCCAGGTCGGCTTAAATCCGATGGAAGGGTTTTAGAATCCACCAAGGATAATAGGGTTTTGGCCCTATCGGATGCGGATATGCCCGTGGTAACACCATGACCCAATAAATCAATGGAAACGGTAAATGCCGTGCCTTTTGGATCGGTGTTTTTACCCACCATCATATGCAAATCCAATTCGTCGCAACGTTCTTCAGGCAATGGTGCGCAAATCAATCCTCTGGCATGAACCGCCATAAAATTAACCATTTCGGTGGTCACCATTTGGGTGGCGGCCACCAAATCGCCTTCATTTTCACGATCTTCATCATCCACCACAATAATCACTTTGCCTTGTTTAATATCCTCCAAGGCATCTTCTATGCTGTTTAACTTAATCTGAGTCATATTATTGGTATCGTTCATGCACATCTTTTTTGGTAAGACGCGTAAATTTAGTGATTAATTGTTGTATCCACACCCCTACAATGCCCAAATTATTGATAGAGGCCTCATTAATGGCCAATCGGCTCATCCATAACGCAATGGGAATGAAGATAATATTGGGCAACCAACTGGCCAATACAGGATTTAATTCATTGG